TTCTCTGGTTTATTGCACAAATACCTCTGACGAGATATACATCGAAACGACCTTTTAAAACTCCTATGCAGCGCTCAACTATACAACGTGTCTTCTTATGAGCAACATTATATTTTTCTTCTGCTTCGTTTGCTGGATGAAGGATTGGGGTCATTAACCATGGTTGGAGGGGAAATCCACTATCTCCTAGCAACCAAAAATTACGATGACCCCTTGCATACTTCTCTTTGAGACAGCTTTGAATTGCCGAATGCCGCAGCACGTATGCATCATGTGACGTACCTGGAAACTTCGCATAGGCATAGCAGATTTGATATCTCGAGTCACAAATAGGTAATAAATTGACTGAATGACCACCTGCAGATGTTTGTTATTGATTTAGATTTACTTTTAAAATTGAAAGCAACAAAATAAACCTTTTCGGCAGTATTATGCACTTTCCAAATTTCCTTTAGGTGATATAATCTTGATGTGACTTCCATCCATTAATCCAATTACACCGGGAAAACCATATTTTTGATAGAACTCCGCCTTTACCGCTAATTCCTCCGTCTCATTTGGAAATCGCACGTAAGCAGTTTGAACAGTATTAAGAACGGAGGTTACTTCCTCAACACATCGACTGACAGTCGTTTGCGATAAACAGGACAAAAAGTCTTGTCCTATGGCGCGTTGATAGCTTCCTGTGGCAAAAAATCTCAAAGCGGTCAGCATTTTCATATGTACAGGAATAGCAGTGTTTCGTATCGAGCCCCGGAAAAGCGGTAACAGCTTGGCTAGGGTATCGTTGAGTATAGATTTTGGAAGTCTATATAGTTCTATAAACGTTTCCCGCTTATCTCGAATGGATTTTGCACATCTCGCAGATTCTTTCTTTCTACCACCATAGTCCGCCTTAAATATAAGAAATGTTAGTACATATAAACATGTGTTCATATATATATAAACTAAATACAACACACTTCCTCACCTTTTTCTACGCCGCAATCGTAATATAATAATATTTCCACTCATTGGGTCCATTATCTTCTTCAATTTTAAAAATGCAAGTTTTTATTTATTTAATTTTCCGTTCGCTTTTGTTTTGATTTGAATATTACTGACAGCTGAGATTTTACATTCAGCACGATACTGTTTTTAATACTGTTTAATCCCGCCTCGTATTAAAATATATATAGCAGGGGTGGGCAAGGCCGAGGCCGAAAAGAGCCACATCTAAGTTCTAAATGCTACATAGAGCCACAAAAAAAGAACAAGAAAAACTAAAATTTTATTTTTAAATAAAATTATTATTAGAAATGAAAAACATTAATTTTATTATTATTCTATTGTACGTAAGATAGATATAAAAGAAAGTTCAAAAGATCCCCTTGGCGAGATTTTCAAAATGGTTTTAGGTCAGTTAAAGCTGTTCGTAACAATTCTGTTAAGTGTTGGATAGTCAATAGTTCGTTTAAAATCTCCAGTAAAAAATATCATCTGTTCTCTCACAAGAGAAAAATATCCAAAATAGTACGCGAACAGAAAATTTGCAGAAACTTGCAAGTGAGACGAACACCTGATAGAAATTTTGTTTACATTAACAGGTCTATTCTGTACGTTACCGAAGATTTTTTGACCGGAAAATTTTATTACAAAAAATGTTACCACTTCTTGTCACCGCGATTCTAGGTACGGTTACAAGAGCGCACAGAATGCGAAAAAGGTTTAAAAATTGACAGACACTTTAATTACCGGTTATAAAATGTATGTTACCAGCGCAGAATAGCTCTGTAAAAAGTATAAAATTGAAAACGTAAGAAAACAAATCCTGAATTCTTATCCTGACACAGTTCACTGACTAAACGAATAATTACTTATTTCTTACAAGTTTAATTAGTCGCATTTTACTATTTCAACTTCCAAACCATCAAATTCAATTTAGGGATTTGCGTAAATTCCAACCAGCTCTTCTTGATCAGCTGTTTTCTTGTTGGCAAATATGTGTAATACGTATGAAATATGTATTTTAAGAAGTAAAAAGAAGAAAAATATTCTAAGCAAGGAGAAAGTAAAAAGAGCCGCACTGTGCTAAGCAAAGAGCCGCATTTGGCTCAAAGAGCCACGTTCGCCCACCGTTGGTATATAGATTTTTAATTAGGTAATTGTTTAATAAATCTTAATATAGTACGAGCTTGCAAAATTCGGAAAATCTCTTCCCGTATTTACAATGTAAATAATAATGCTGAATATGTCGCATGTTTTCCTTTTGTTGAAATGCATAAATTTGATGCATGGTTTGATTTGAATATATTCGGCAATATCTTCATATATCACTTTCAAACATGTATAAGCGACTTGATATAAACTGGCACTTGCATGATATGTTACATGTCGCTATGTTTTGTAGTTCAGGCCTTTAGTATCTACATCTGTAGCAGCCACAGAATTGAGCTACATATATATCAAACTAAAGTGCAAGGTGCAGTTGCAG